CTCCAACTACTTTTCAAAGGCTTATGGACCACATTACAGAAGGATTGCACAGTTTTGCTCATGCTTATCTAGATGACCTTGTAATATTCAGTGCAACATGGAAGGACCATTTGGAGCAGTTAGCAACGGTACTAGGACGCTTGCAAAAGGCAGGAATTTCAGTGAAACCATCCAAGTGTCAGTTTGCTGTGAAGGAATGTACTTATCTGGGTCATGTTATTAGAGGAGGAAAGGTAGCACCGGTCAAAGACAAATTGGAAGCGATTAAAGATTTTCCTCGGCCGGAATCAAAAACGCATGTACAAGCCTTTTTAGGTCTCACAGGATATTACCGAAGGTTTATCCCCAAGTTTGCAACAATAGCAGTTCCACTAACAGAAGCTACAAGGAAGTCACAACCACAACAAGTCAAATGGACAAATGAGTGTGAACAATCATTTAGGGCTCTGACAGCTGCACTGACTTCATCACCAGTTTTACGTAGTCCAGATTTTACCATACTATTTGTACTGCAAACAGATGCGTCAGATTATGGAGTAGGGGCTGTTCTGAGTCTGTGTGATGATCAAGGATTTGACCATCCTGTATCGTATTTCAGTCGAAAACTATTGCCAAGGAAACAGCGTTATGCTACAGTAGAGAAAGAGTCTGGCTATCAAGTTGGCTATTGAGACATTTTAAGTATATCTCCTTGGTCGAACTTTCACCATCCAGACAGATCATAGGGCCCTTCAATGGCTACACAATATGAAGAACTTAAATAGCCTACTGGCACAGTGGAGCTTGGCCTTACAACCTTTTCAATTCAGGATTGAACACCGCAAATGACGGGAGAACGCAAATGCAGATGTCCTCTCAAGAATTGAGTCGTGCTTCGCACTGAAGGAGGGAGACGTGTAATAGTAGAAACAAGATAGGACAGGCATTTAATTTTTGTGTACCATTTAAGAACATTCTAGATTATTCTTTTTCATTTACCGGACTATTCCTTTGTTGCGTGGACTATTCTTTTTGTGTAATGGAACATTCTGGACTAGAAGGTTCCAGATTTGTACCTGGCTATAAATATGTGATTTTTGTAAATAGTTGGTTCCTTGCTTGGTAAAAACATAATATTAAACCACTTACTTCTGGTGAACACTGTTACAACATACGATGTAGGAGTGGTTCTTGTGACTCGAGTTGCTTTTGAGTTTGGTGAATGGGATGTAAAACTTCTAGAAGAAAGATGAGTTTAGCATACAGTAGTTGACGATGTTGTAAATCACTTAGAAGCTCAGCAATGGCCTGAACCTTATCTGACTCACGGGATGTTGGTAAGTCAATAAACATTAAGAGATGACGCCACAACGATTTCGCAACTTTAGCACATTCCTACAGAGAATACCAGCGAGTTGGAACAATAGCAGGAGGTTTACACACTTTATCTTCACTGACACCATTACTAAGACTAAGAGTTCTAAACGATCTCTCAAGTTTGGCTGCGTGCTTAAATAGGGCTCAAAATTTGGTTCGTACTCTCCTGAGACTATTTATGGACTCAGAATGCATGGCTGCATCAATTGCAACATGTATGAGATGAGCCACATCATTGAACTGTTGTAGTTTACATCATTGAACTGTAGTAGTTTAGGGTTATAAGCTGCTTTGCCATCTGAAGCAACTTTCTTCATGTACACTGCTGAGTCGGTTGAAAGCCCTATCACATCCACCCGATCTTTGTCTATGTTTTGTATGACACGTGACAAAAGAAGGGCTAGTGTTGTACTATTGCAAGCTTTCATTAGAGTCGTATCTAATAATGCGACACTTTTGTTGTTAAGTGAAGAATCATAAAATGATGCCAAAGTATTGACTGCTGGTCTTCCAATTACATCTGAAGACTCGTCTAATATTAAGCTAAGTTTCTGATCTATTATCTTTTCCTTGAGAAAATTCATGTGGCTTTCAAATATTTCGGGTAAGTACTTTGATGCAATCTGACGAGCACCAGACATTGTTTTAGCAGCAGGACAATATTTACGAAACACTTTGCCAATATGACCGTCAGCTTGGTGAAGGGAAGAGCTTTGTGTCATACCTCGCTTTCGTATAAAGTAAGCTGCTTTCCATCTTTTCATCTTTTTTCATAATTTTCCTTCATTAACTTGTGACGTTTGGTAGATAAGTGTTCGTGCACTCTATCCCAAGGTTTCTTTCCAGACGACAAAACATCAATCTCTACTGAACAGTATTTACAGGTAAGTACTTCCTTGGTTTTATCTCCAACCGGTTTCTTTGGAGTTTCTAAGTCATTTGGGTGATCCTTTACCCAGTCTTGAGGCGTTTTCCACTTTCTTCCAAGGGAATTAACAGATCCAACCTTAGGAGAACTGAAAAAATCACCTGCTAAGTTGTCACATGCTTCAGCCATATTGAAGTTTACAAAGGGTTAAAAGATAATGAAGCACTACAAAAGTGGTTAAAATCGGGTTTAACCAGGACTTGCAATTATTGGATCTGGTTGTAAAAATAGAGTAGAAAAGGGTCAGAACCCAGAAAATTCCAGCCCTATTAACAAGCGCTGTCACTTTATTTTGTATACAGAAAGAGCCAAGTCTGCTTCTATACTACCAAGACAAGCTTGATCCGTGCTTCTCCGCAAAGGATGCAACTCTACTTTCACAGCGACAATTTTCACATTAGCCACAAAGCAATTTTGATTTTTGTACACATCATTCACAGTGTTGCTAGGTCTTTGATTAAGGGCCTTGGACTGTACTTATCTGGTAAAATCTCCCTCAAACTTTATGTGCTCTTCCAGATTTCTCCCTATCAACAGCCTACACATGCTTCTCGTTTTAATTTTATTCACATGCCATTCACAATGAATCAATGATGGACACGTACGTGCAACAACCATAAAGCACAATTTTGTACCATCTGTGTAGATTTGGTGCCAGCCAAGACTGGTGCATGTCTAGTCAGTTTCAGTGTAGCAAGTTTTTATGATCATGTAACCGTGCACTCACACAATTAAAATGGCTGAAACTACAATGTGTTCTCTTTTTCTTTCTTTAAGTCTCCGATTCTCTTGTTTTGGGTGTTACTTCCTTCGCATTTTACCTGAAGGATCTTTGTCCTCATAATTACTTGAAAAAGAGATTAAGATATGCAAGATAGCAAGGGATTTCTTGAGCATTAAAAAGTGACAGCACTAAGTTTGTTATGAACAATGAGATGCTAATGATATTCACAAGCATATTATTGAATAAGAATTGACGATTGCCACAATGCTAAAAAGTGCCATCTGAAAGAATAATATAGTACAACGCCAAAAGAGCTAAGTAGGTCCTTTACTGTTGCATAGGTCGTTTGCTGCTCCTTCATTGCGCATGCAAAAACCTACCGGTAGTAATAGCGCACATGGTCTATGGAGCCGTAGTGTAGAATTTTCATCACAACTCATTTTGAACTGATTCCTTGGTTTGGGAATTGTCAGTTCTTCGGAATCCTACTTTTTAGAACCCTTTCTTGGGCAGGGTTAATAGTTAATTGCTTATGCCCGTGGGCAACTCATTTTATAACAAACTGACCACAAAAAAACTTTGCACTTTTTATCTTGTAAAAGCCCTTGAAAGCCTCATATGGACATGTGCATCCAGGATAGTACTCTAGAACAATAAAGTGTACACTTGCAAGTTCAAATGATTAATTATCAGGCAAGCTGAAGAAATCTGTATGTGTATAACTGTGATAGGTTTGTGTTGTTCACCATAACTGTCTTTAGAAAAGTTATAGACAAAATTACAATAAAATGTCAGAGAAATAAGTGTATTAAGACCCTGTGCAATTTGATGTGTCTCTAAGCTCAAAGCGCTTGTTGATAAAGCACTTTTGTGTCATGCGTTACAGCAACGCTTTGTTGATTTTCAATTATTGAAGTGAAGAAGAAATATTTTTTCTCTACTTAGTGATCTTTGGAGAACCTTCTAAGGTACCGAGTCATATCTACAATCATAGGTAAGTCATAGGGTACTTCAAATTCTGTTCTAGTGGCTGTTGTGACTGTGATATATACTTAGATTCTCTCCAACCTAAATGCTCAATGGCAACAATGAAAAAGTGAAAACTTAAGCAATTTAAACCTATCAATCGTATCGAGGGATACCTTCTCTGTATACCAGTTTTCTTGAAGAACTATACCTCAGAAGATTGGAAAAAAGCAAAGCAACTATCCTGTCTCAGCATTCTTAGCCATTGTATGGCCACCCCCACGAGAATTTTTGCCCCGCCTACCAATGTAATGAATGGTAAAATGTTTTCTGGACTGCTATGTCTAGTACTTTTCTCTCTTCCTAGTTCTCAAGGCTACTCTGTAAGTGTATGCTATGATTATACCATGTGTTCCTGTGCCTTATTTAATAAATTCTTATGTTTGTGTTACATGAAGTGTGATTATGAATCGAATGGATGTAAATTATTTCATTTGTAGCTATATCTTTGCCTGCCTTCTTAGATTTCATCTAAGCCTTACCTAGACTCCATGCAACTATTCTTTATGGATTAGACGATTCTGATATTGTCAAAACATCAAGATTGTTAAGTCACGCCTCCATCACTTACATGTAGAGGCATGTGGGTTTTAGAGTAAATTTGTACTGCATTTCTATCCCCTTCCATCTCTTTTTATATCTTTTTATCCTCTCTTTTTAGCTTTGTGTGATACTGCAAACAATCCATAGTGAAGAAAAGAACAAGTGAAGATTTGTCAAGATGAGAAAGAATTGGGTACTGAGAATGGAGGCAGAAAGCAATAAGAAATGAAGGGTTGTGACATTTTAGATGAGAAAGGAGGGGGTATTGAGAATGCAAACAAGAACAGAGGCAGAAAGCAATAAGTTAGTTACCTTAATTGGCTAGAATACATTCTACTTCATACATTACTGCATATATTAAAGAATTGAACTTATATTTTGTAAAATAGATTTGGCTGAATAAAAATCAAATTTTTCATAGCTATGTCTTCACAACTTCACCAAAACAACCTCAATAATCACTGCAGAGTGTGCTCTAAAGCATTGGGGAAGACCAAATACAAGTGCATCAAATATGTATCATTACTTGAGCAATACTTGAGTGTTGATTTGACAAATGACACCACAGCGGTGCATCCCGAACACTTCTGCAACAGCTGCTACCTGACAGCAAAGAAGATCTCACAGGATGCTGAGCGGTTTCAACAGAAGAATATTCCTGTAAAATGGTCACCACATAGTGAGGAATCATGTGAAGTCTGTGATGTTTTGAACAAAGGTGGACGACCAAAGCAGAGGTATTTCAGTGGGCGGCCAACTCTCATCTGTCAGCACATTCGAACAGTAGGATATCGGATTCTTCAGTTTTCTCTTGCTCAGCTAGTAGATGAGCAGCACAAGGCTGATAATACTTGTAAGTTATGTAGCTGTGCTGCAAACAAACCACTGGAAACCATTCCATGAAAATCAGTGCTTTGTACTCACTGTTGTCTTGCTCTCTCCAAATCGTCACATTTTGTCTGTCCTGGCTGTTCTTTGCTCTCTCCAAATTGTCACATTTTGTCTGTCCTGGCTGTTCTTATGAGCATCAGTCAACTGACAACACGTTCACAGAGCTCTCAGCACTTTCTAAAGAAATGTTCAATGAATTATCTGTTAGGTGTGAGAAATGTATTAAACCAGTGAAGTTGGAAATGAAGAGTGAAGATTGTGATAGCCATAGAGAGAGCCAGCAATTGACACTGGAAGACATTAAGACCCAGCCGCAACAGACAGCAAATGACAGCATAAAGAAAGCAGCAGTTATGGTGGTTACTGGAATGCTGGCACAGGGTGACTCAGGATGTCTAACAGTATCAACTGGATGAAGAGTATAATACATGTACATGCATAATCAATTGTACATGTATTACCATATTTTAAAATAAATCCTTTAGCCCATCAGCCTAGTGAAAGTGACAAATTCAACCAGATCAACTGGAGAAGCAAGTTATGATATTAAGAGAAGAAGCCACGAGTTAGCTACCATGCGCAACAGATTGAGCATCAATGATCAAGTGGGTGTCACTTGCATGTAGCCTGTACTGATGTTTGCGACCGGGATCAAAAATTTTGATTCGGAAAATAACTTCTTGATCCCTTGATCTGGTAAATTTGAAGGTCTTAATTTCTTGATGTGACAAGTTTTGGGGCTTTGATCCAACCAACCCTTGGGGTTAAATTTTCATTAATAACCTATAATTAATTAACTAATATTAAAGTTATTTGTGATTGCTTCTTGTTTTCCCGCTGCTAGATGCATCCATACCCGAACTCTTGTGTCTATAGAAGCAAGGCTAATGGGAGTAATGTTTTATAAGCACAAAGCTCCCTGCTTCCCGAAGTTAAGGATCGTCCAAGAAACATCTAATTTCAAGGATAATAATGCTATCCTTGTGAAGCATGATGATCATGATGTGGGGCATATTGATAAGGTTACTGCTAAGCCCATTTCTGTGATGTTGAGTAAACTTACTGTGACGATTAATTGGTTAGTCAATAAAACTACTATCCTAACCTAATTCAAATTTATGCTGCTGCTTTTTATTTAGCATATGTTCTGATACTCATCTAAAATCATCGACAGGCAGCAAAAATTATAAATTTTTATACCAAGATGTATTTGTAGTGACCGAGAAGGAAAGGTAAAGAGAGGTCTCGTGGGATTCAACGAACAAATTTATCAATAAGTTAAAAACTTCTTAAAACTGAAGAATGCACACACTTAAATACACAGAAATCAATTGCATCATAATACATCACTGACACACATTGCATAATATTACATAACACTAGAAAGGAATCTTAATCAACAATGCATACATTATATACCCTACATAAGAAATGAAAATAAGTACAGAAATAATAATTAGGAAAAATGATAATAATAATAATACAATACATGCCTAGGAAAATAATTATAAATAAGCATGCACTAACATTATCAGTTATAACACCCCTCCCC